TAAAAAGAAAGTTCCATTCAACAGAGTCAAAAGCTTTTTCGAAGTTTAAAAATAATAAAATTCCTCCTTGGTTCTCTGATTCAAAAATGTCTAATATCAACCTGGCGTTTTCGCCGATGTATCGTCCTTTTATGTACGCAGTTTGGTTTTCATTAATTAAGCCAGATAAAAATTTTTGTAATCTTTTGGCAAATACAAAAGCTATAATTTTATAATCAGTGTTTGTCAGACTTATAGGACGATAGTTTTTCAATAATTTTTTTTCTCCTTTTTTAAAAACTAATGATATTATTGATTGTCGTTGTGTGTACGACATTATCTCTTGGTCATATATTTCTTTAAGAGCATCATAAAAATAAGGGCCAATTTGTGTCCAGAAACATTAATAAAATTCACTAGCTAATCCATCGAGACCAGGTGATTTATCATGTTTCATACTGTAAACAACTTCAGTACATTCCTCTAAAGTCGGAAATCTTTCTAGAAAATTTTTATTTTCGTCACTTATATATCGGTACATCTATCTCAATTAAATAATTATCGATCAAATCGTTATCTATGTGTTTACTTGTATATAAGTTTTTATAAAAGTTAAACATTTCTCCTAAAATTTCATTTGTATTATTAATTGTTTCATTGTTTGAAGTTAGAAGTTCTGGTGAAATAAAATATATGGAGATAACGAACAGTATTCAAGCTCAAAAGTCCATTATACAATACAAAATAGGAGCAGAGCAAACACGGACCTCCAAACATCAGAGGTGGGATCAGGTGCCATGGAGGAGTGAGCATCCCCTGCCGACCGGTCACACCCGCCGTGTGCTCCTTCTCATGATCGGGAAATAACGGAAAAATCCGTCGACAATTCAGTGTGTAAATAATGGCCTAACAATCAGTTTGAAAAACGTCAGTCAGCATTTGACTCAATGATAAATTGTATTTGCTGACAAGGTCATTGTATCGACCATAGAACTTACGAAATGATGACTTTAGACGAGACAGCTGATATTCCTGTTTCATCAACTTATTTGTCAATAATTTACCTCGTTTTAGAAAATGTACATACGTAGAGCATGCTCTTGCGTATCGAATCAACTGAGAGATATGTACCCCGTATGCAGGTGATGAAGGTATATTGCTGCATAAGTAAGGGAAGTTGACGATTGAAAAGTTAAAGCTTGGTTGTTAGATTACCATTAACGTCTTTTTCAAGTAAAATATCCAAATATGAAACAGATGTGTCGGACTCTGTGGTATCTTTTATCTCAAGTTCACAAGGATATATCGTATCGACATAAGAATGAAAATAGCCATTGTTAATTGACAATACGTCGTCGATATATCTAAATGTCGAGTTGAACGCCACAGCAAGTGTTTTCTTCTTTTCACGTACAAGTTTTTGGACAAATTCTGCTTCATATGAATACAACGAAAAAGGTCTACTAATAACGGGGTGCAATTGGTACCCATAGGCATTCCAATAGATTGTTGGAAGACCTGGTCTCCAAAAACCACATAGATATTGTCAATCAGAAACTCAAGCATCTTTTTCATGTCAACTTCAGAGTACTTGTGTGTACAATCAGAATGTTTTTTAACAAAATAATTTTGCAAATGACCAATGACAAGGTAAGTATATTTACGAGTTCCATTTTTATTGAAAAAGCAGCTGTCAATGATATCAAAAAGCCTGTACTTTAATTTATCGTGGGGAATGGTTGTGTATAAAGTTGAAAAGTCGTTAGTTTTTGAGCTGTTGATTTTGGTAAAATCTTGTGATTTCAAATTTTCCAAAAGTTCCTTGGAATTTTTAAGTATCCACATCTGATTTACACCACTTCTCGAATATATTGTTGCACAGTACTCTTGAAGTTTCTCCTTCACCACTGTTAATATCTTAGTGAGGAGTAAAGATAGAGGCTTGGTTGAACATTTACTGGAACCCGCTTTGTATCTTTGTTTGTAAGGATTTTTATGAAGTTTCGGAATCCAATATAAATATGGTAAATCGAATTCATTTTGGTTGTTTGGAATATTAAAAATATTCAAAACTGACATATGATTTTGAAGAATTTCTTCCTTAGAAAGGGAACTATGAGTATAAGTTGGATTAGCACTTGTAGAATTAAATCCAAGTTCCTCTAAAATACATTTAATATAATGAGCCTTACAAACAAAGACAATGTTGTTACCTGCTTTGTCAGCAGGGACCAGTACGTACTGAACATGTAATCTATCTAATTCTATTTTCACTTCTGGATTATTGAATACAGAAGGATAGATGGTTTTCATATTGCCTCTCAATCTTTTAATGCGTGATTTTAACATACATCTGATACATTTAATCCATTCTGACAAAGTGTCAAGGTCTTCTTTTTCATGTCTGGACCATTGCCTGGCGTAGTCCTCTACAGAATCCATAATATTTATGAAATTCTTACGCCAGTTGAAGGAACTGGGTTCCCTAAATTTAGGACCTTTTAAAATTAGTGATCTAGTGATTAGGTATAACATTTAAGGATTGATGCTGTTTTTCTAAATTTAGAAAATATGCAGTGTTTTCCTCTCCTTTTTCAACCCATTTGGCTTTGGATCTTATGTGCGCTCCTTTAGATTTTTTATCGTAGATACTGTCTAATTCTGCTTCTAAAGATTTTAGCCTTCTGTTATTAAATTCTTCTGTTTTACCTGTTTCTATATCTTCAATTTCATTTTCGATTATCATAATTCTTTTCTTGAGTGTTTTTTGTTGAAATTGCGAAAAACTGATCGAGAAATCTTTTACTTTACGCTTAATACATTCCCATTTGTCTATCAGATTTAAAGAATTATCTAACTTATCAATAATATTTTGTAATCCCCTATTATATTTTTCATTTTCTATGTAAGACACGTTTAATTTCCGACCTCTTTTTTCACTAGACAGTTCAAAATGAAATTTTAAAAAGCTTTGATCAGACATTGGAATCCTTTTAGAATGAGTGCCTGGAATTTTCCTAATTCTTAAAGCATAAAAAAAGCGATAAAACTCATCATTAATGAAAACATAATCAATCCGACTTTTAGGATTATTTTCAGCATCACACCATGTTAGACCATTTAGACCGGGATATTTTATTTTCAAAAAATCAATTAAATTAAAATTGTTCATAACATATTTCAAAGTATGTACACTTTATCATTTTCATCGCCTAGTTGACAATTAAAGGCACATTCGGTGTTGTGTTTTTGCCATCATGATCGGGTAAACAGAGATATGTAGTCTATGCAGTATGAAATGAAAAAGTTGAAAATAACTAAAAGTGATCGATCTGAAAGAAAAACCTACAAACAATACAAATCTGTATACAGGACATAAAAACGGACCCCCAGAAATTTCAGAGAGGGAATCAGATGCCTAGTAGTTATGAAAATAATGACTTAACAATTTGCATGTAAGAGTGACGATAACGAACAATGATCATTCTAATTAATCCAGTAAACAAAACAAATCGTGATCAGGGAAAAATACGGACTCCTGGGAACACCAGAAGTGAAATCAAGTGCCTAGGAGGAGAAAGCGTCCACTGTCTATGTAGTTTGCAGTTGACTATTGACGATATCGACCATGGAATTTGCGAAATGTTGACTTTCAAAGAAATTTGTAGATATCCTTGTACCGTCAACTTCTTTGTCAGTAGTGTCTATGGAGCATTTAATATGACCTTTTGCACTATAATTACGTCTAACACATAAATCATTTAAGTTTTTTCCTCCAATATATTTTTTTTAAATAAATTATGGAACAAACACAGTCTTATTTCATCTTGAATAAACACATTAAAATTTTGACAACAAATAAGTTTCATATTTCTTCTCATGGTCGATTATTCGAAATAAATCATTTAAGTTTTTTCCTCCAATATTTTTTTTTTCAAATAAATTATGGAACAAACACAGTCTTATTTCATCTTGAATAAACACATAAAAACTTTGACAACAAATAAGTTTCATATTTCTTCTCATGGTCGATTATTCGAAATTTCTGCACTCAAAAATGTCATTTTTCTGGCATTAAAAAATTAACAAGCAATAAAATAATTTGAAAGTAATGACATTTTACTGAATTTATGAAGAATTTTTAAAAGTATCATATATTGAGGAAAGAAAATTAAAATTAGGGGTCTGTAGAGTTAATGTTTATATATTACTACAATAGTGTTCATTTTAAGCTTAAATTGGGGGTAACTCTTTCTGGATTTTCACAATATATTTGCTATATTTGTCAAACATGATGATGGAATTCTTGACATTTTACTTCATAAATAATATACCACCAGCATTAAAGAGTTCAGCACAAAATAACTCTGTGTGCAGGCTGCATGGGAAAATAGTAATTCAAACTTAACTATACTTTAAATACTTCGAAAGAAAAAAAATGATCATTTTGTTCTGAAAAACCTTCCGCCACAAAATATAGTTCCTCATCTAACGCTTATGGTATGGAATTTAATCATGGGGTTTTCACTGAATATATTTTAATTAGCATAGTAAAATTTGAAAATTAAATGAATATTACTTGTAAGATGAAATTTGATTATAATTTTACCAAATCAACTTAGTACTGAGGGATCCAATGAGATTGCTTCGAGGTCACGTGACAGTCAGTATTCAGAGATCCTTGGAAGTATTGATGTAACTTTAATAGTAATACACATTTCACTAAATCTAGATGATTTCCAGCATCCCATATACAACGGGTGGGTATGGGATGGGCATTTGATCCCTCAGTACTAAGTTGATTTGGTAAAATTATAATCAAATTTCATCTTACAAGTAATATTCATTTAATATTCAAATTTTACCAAATCAACCGTACTGAGGGAACCAATGAGATTTTAGAGACAATACTTCAAAGGATTCATAATGTACTATATATATTAAAAACAAATGCAACAGTTCACTTTTATTCTAGTTGTACATAACATGATCATGCATATTTAGCATTATGACATCTACATTCTAAACAAAAGCAACACATTTTGATTTTATAACTATGAGTATGTTTGTAAAATAGTACTTCCTATATTCACTTTTTCCTCACTACATGGTTTATTATAAAACTTTCGAAATGTACAATCTGATTTCCAACCCGCTACATTCAAAATGGTCGTAATTGGTACATTTGCGGATTTTGCAGCACTCATCGATGCTGTTCTTGTACTTTGAACCTTAAACATTTTTACATTAATACCAGAATTTTCTAAGACAGTCCTTATCCAATTGCTAATTGTGTGTTTGGAGACCTTTTGATGAGGTGCCATGGTGCTAATGAACAGCTGTGTTTCTTCGCCACGCAAGGATTGTGTACGTCCTATGTATTCTTGTAAGGTTTGTTTTCACAACACATAAGCGTTCATCTTGTTTGAAGCGCACTAGTTCAATAGGTTGTAAATGATTGCCAGGTTTGGATTGTTTTAACAAGTCACCGAAATGAATTTTTACAAAATCATTGTTTATCAATATATTTCTAATATCTATCAGATGTAAAGACTGACATCTTTGTCCTGTCAATAAAGCAATCAACATAGCTAGCTTCCAACTCAAAAATCTAAGACTAATAGTATTTACAGGAATAAGAGTTTTCAAATATTCTAAAACTACAGAAACATCCCATGTACATGTATATCTAGGTAAAGATGGTCTTCTGTTAAATATGCCTCTCATAAATCTCTCAATCAAACTACTGCTACCAAGACTAGTTTCAGGATTAATAATGTCAAAAATCGAAAAATTACATGATTTTGCTGTGTTCACAGCACTATAACCTAATCCACTTTTGTACAATTCTAATAGGAACTCTAAAACAGGATTTACAGATGCTTGAAATGGACTAATAGATTTTCGCTCACAAAATAGCATCCATTTGTGGAAATACGTCCGATATTGCTGTTGTGTGGATTTTCTCCAGGATGACAATAAAATGTCTGCAATGTCTTCCGATATGTTTTGCTGTCTGAGGTTCTCCCTGATATTTTGCATGCAAATAGTCTCATTTTTGACAGAGGGTGCTTCTCGGTAGGCGACATTGGAAGAGTTAATAGATGATGTCGCTTGGGTATCAGAATAGGTGGTTCCACCAGTAATCGGAGTAATTTTGTGAACCAATGCTGAGTTGTCCAAAGAGGCGCCACCAGAACTGCTTTGCATCTATTTGTCTTTATCTTTTGAATGACTCTCCCCAACAAGCTAAAAGGAGGAAACATATAATATAGTTTATCATAGGTCCATGTAAAGCTAAAAGCATCTACAGCAACTGCTGTAGGGTCTTGTAAAAATGACACGTATGTAGTTAACTGTGTATTGATTCTGGAAGCAAATAAATCAATGTCAGGGGCTCCGAGCTGTTCACAAATGTTTTGAAACACAGTCTTGTCTAACGTCCATTCCATATCCTTAGATAAATTTCTTCAGAGTTTGTCTGCTTCAAAGTTTTTCTTACCAGGAAGATGACAAGCGGTTAACCAAATATTTCGACGTTTACACCAAAGCCATATTTCTCTCGCCAAGTTTTGTAATGTCGGAATTTTACCTCCCATATTTTGTAAATAGGAGACAGCTACTGTATTGTCCATACATAGTTTTATATGACAATCCTTCAAAATAGAGCAAAAACTTTTTAAGGTTAAGAATCCAGCCAAGAGTTCCAAATAATTGATGATTTTGTTGTTCTGTGTAAGACCAGTGTCCCCCTGTTCTTTTTGAAGAGTCACCTTGTAGTAGTCCCCCCATCCTGAGCCTGAACTATCACTCTCTAAAACCACATGTGGTTCGGGTATATTGATAGGGTAGAAACTTGTGTGGAGATTGTTAATCCACCATGTTAAGAGATCTCGCACTGATTCTTATATTTTAAAACCGGAATCATAATCACCTCTGGCATGTATTAATGCTTGTTCTTTTTCATGTTTTAAGTCTTTCAAATATAGTGGTGCAAATTGGACACCTGGTTGACATGCAACCAACTTTCCTATGACTTGTGAAAAGTCTCTGGTAGAAATTTCAACTTTATTAAGTACTTTTTTTGTACAAAGATACTATTTTATCTGCTTTTTCACAAGTTACTGACACAGTCATTTTTTCTGAATTCAATAAAAATCCCAAAAATTCTATTTCCTTAGTTGGAACAAATATTGACTTCTCAGGGTGAACTGTAAGTCCTAAGTTATCCATATGTATTACTGTGTCTATCACGTTTTTTGTACAAGAATTATAAGAATCACCCTGAAGCAAGCAGTCATCAATATAGCACACTATTGAATGTCCCAATTTCCTCAATTGTGAAAGGACTGGCTTCAAAAGTTTTGTGAACACTCTTGGAGATGTAGATAATCCCATGGGTAGACAAGTAAATTGAAATAATTGGTCTTTCCACATAAAGCGGAGATATTTTCTGTCTGCCCTTGTTACTGGGACTGAATAAAAAGCTTCTTTTAGGTCAATGGAAGCAAACCAACAATCCTGTTTCATTAGGTTTATAGCTGATTTTAATGTGTCCATCTTGAAATGGATGTGTTCCACTTCTAAATTAAATTTTTTCAGATTTAAAATGAGTCTGATTCAACCATCTTTTTTCTCACGAGGAAAGATTGTTGATATATATTGATCAGAATAAAAGTCATTCCCTTTTTCAATTATGTTTTTAGCTAAGAATTTGGAAATTTCCCTATCTAGGCCTTCTTCTTCAGCAGTAGAAAATTTTATGTTTCTTGGAACCAATTTTTGTAAGGATTCACTTGCAAGTTCGATTTCATAGCCTGATACAACATTTAAAGTCCAAGGATCAGAGGTGATCTCTGACCACTTATTTCTGAATGAAGAAATTTTACCCCCAGTAAAATTATCAGGGTTATTTTTCAGTCTCATATTTCTTGTACCAGTATCTGTATTACTTACAGTTATAGGGTTCTGTTCTAGTCTTTTTTGTTCCGTTGAAATTTTTGGGACTGGCGCTTCTCTAAAAAAGGACTCTTGTTGGCATCGTTCCTGTTATTGTTCATCGCATGTCGTCCGTAAGATGCATACTTATAGCTGTTCTGCCTGTTCTGTGAGTAACGATTCCTGATATTTGAATACATGGGAGAATATCGTTGTGACTGATTGTGCTTGTCTGTGATTTTCCTGCTGACTTTTTTGGCATCAGTTATTTCTTTTATTTGTTTTTCCAGGTCATCCCCAAACAAATAATTTGTCATAGGAATTCCTGATGCACATAATGCCTTGTACTCATTAGACAGCTCTGGTCTAAGTGACAATCTTCTTCGTTGTGACATCTCTGAGAACCCCAGTTGTAAAAGTTTAAAGGTGTCATTACACAGAGCAAAACAAACACTTACATCTGTTTGTGTAAGTCCTTGTTTCCTCGTTTGTGCTTTCAGAAGTTTGTCCATTAAATGGATCAAGGGATAAAAGGTTTTGCATATAGTACTTTGTATGTGTTGTAGTTTTAAATCTTGATCTCTGGCTTTCCTTGTTAGGCTGGACCAGATGCCCTTATTAATTCTAGGGACTGTTATTTTTTCACAGTTTTGTGGTTTCATGTGTTTTGCCAGTAGGTCTTTCCTTTTGGTTTCTCCGATGCGTGTCCTCATGCTATCATTAACAATTTTTGCAAGACTATCTTCTATTTTCCCTGAGCATTTTCTTCTTGCTTGTAAAACAGTTCCATTGAAGAAAGTATGTCCTCTGAATCCTTTTCTTCTATGTTATCATCCGCAATTGTGATTGGATTAGCTATTTTATCTAAGTCTTTTGTCCAATCTCCGTCTGGTTCTTCGTTCGAATTTCCTCGGGAATCTTCAGACAATACGTATGAATTGTCTTCTTCTTCTTCCATTGGGCGGGTTATGGTTGCCGTCGGCTGGTTAATTTTAGGCATATAGTTCATTTGAAGCATCATTTGATGCATTAGTTCTGTCTGTATCACTAGGAACGTCTCTAATGCCGGTGCCCTCATTTCTCCTGTAACATTGTTTTTGTTTTTACCGGAAGAAGTCATTTTTTGACATTTCGAGCCCGATTCAAATGGAGCATGTGTGCCGTATCGTGTTTCACATTGAGATTCTGTTTCACAGTCAGCTAATTCAATGTTCCTATTCTCCGCAGATCCACAGTTGGTTTTCGACTGCGGCTGTGTCCCAGAATTGGGCTCAGTGTTATCAGTGTTTTCTAACCCAGAATTGGGTACATGTAATAAAGAAGTGCTTGTCCCACAATTGGGCCCAGCATCAAGCTCCCGCCTTGCGGTGCGAGGCATTCTGTGTTAACAGAAATTATGCCAGTGTTTGGAATAAGTTTCGAAGTTGTTCTGCAACTATTCCGTAAGTTTTTAACACATCAGAATACTGAATAAAAGTCAGAATAACGGTAAATATCAATAAAATCCAGAGAGATAAAGATGCACGTCTTTGTAAACAAAGAAACCTCAAAGCACTGACCATCACGTGACCTCGAAGCAATCTCATTGGTTCCCTCAGTACGGCTGATTTGGTAAAATCCGAAATTTCTTGTAAAAACTAAAACATTATGCAGATTTTTTTAATTCATGTCAAGACAAAAATCTGCTCAAGAGCTCAGGAGCGAACCTTTTCGTATGACCTACTTTTATGTCAGATTTGTGATTGTGACGTCAGATTTCAAACTTACTTGCATAAATCGATTCACTTGATTTTTGTTGTGCTTAGTGTTTATTTTACTCACAAGTGTTGAATGTTTTGCTTCATATTTATTCTCATCCACTTTTCTACAGATTATAAAGCTTATTGAGATTGTTTCTTGGGAAGAAGTCGTAAATTTTAAGTTCAATCTGCGTTCGTGAAAAGCACTTAAGATTTATTGTAAGAGATTCTTAAGTTAAAGTCTGTCGTAAAAACTTTAGATTTTGTGAAAAGGGCTACTGGTCGTTAATTTATCATGTGGAATGGATGTTTGAATAAAGCATAGAAAAGTCAACTGATTTGGTAGTTATGATTTAACAATAAAGCTTTAACCTATTTCTTTGCATGGACTCCTTTTTCCTTCTATTTTATAGTTACATATACGAGCTTCTTTTGCATATTGAAAATATCAAGTATACCAACCAAAGATTTGCCAGAATATCGTTTTCCTGTCTACATCACACATCTTTTAAATCAAACTGAAAAAATCTAAAATGAATAATCAAATATGAACCTAAAAAAATACATTCGTAGTATATATTATCAATTTTCATGAAGAAAGCAAAAAAATTAAGGAACAGAAATGATTTTTGATTTTTTGAAAATTCTGACACCTGGGAATTAGGGTATACTGGCGTTTTCTCATCTTCATAAAGAAGATGAAAACATGCCAATATACCCTGATTCCCATAGAACTTGAACTTTGAAGCTTTTTATATTAATAACCAAACATTTGAATTCAATTTGAAAGATACAATTATCCATAAATTTATACTCTCAATATATCTTATTAATTCTATAGAAAATAATACTTTTGTATTGTAATCATGTCATGCAACAAGAAAGTTTAAGCCCTGATAAAAAGTTATAGGACAGAATATGCGAGATAAAATATGCAAGATTTTGGATCATATTGATAAATAAGTAAAAATGACTTGAAAATCTCTATTTTCTATTTGTTTTTTTTTTTGTAAAATTTCCGAGATCGATCACCGTTCTTATCTTCACCTTTTCTTTCATTTATACTTACACTGAAACAAGATGATATGTCCAGCTCAAATCTTTGTATTTATATATAGTTTGATATTATTGACAGAGATAAACTATTTCATATGTGTATTTCCTTTGAGAAAAGTTTAGTCGTACTTTGTTTATAAAAGTTTCTTGATAATTAAATCTGATTTTCCGTCTTGCATTTATGCGTTCTTACATTTCAAATCGAAATAATTTCAACAAACTAATATAACATTGAAACACTTCCAATATTTTCTTTAAGAAGTTTATCTGTTGATGCAGCATTTTGGTTTAAAAAAATCTTTCCTACAGGCCAACAGAATCAGCCTAGCATGATGGTTGTACATTATTTTCACACATCACATAGAATTTAACAGTAAAAAAGGTAAAGATAGCAAACAGTGACCGATTTCCAATTTCGTAAAAAAAAATAATACAAATATGTGAACACAACATAAAAAAACGAACCCTTATGTGGGAGCAGGTGACTAGGAGGAATCATCCTCTGTCGATCGATCACACTTGTGTTAGCCCTGTGTATTTTTTTTTTTTTTTTTTTTTTTTTGTATTCATATGAAGCAGAGTTTATTCAAAAACGTCTACATGAGAAGAAAACACTTGCTGTGGCCCTTAACTCGTATTCAGATTAACTCGTATTTAGAGATACACTTCCATTCATATGTCGACTCGATATATCCCAGTGAGCTCGAAATAAGTTACAACAGAGTCTGAAACATCTGGTTCATATCTGAATATTTTACTAGAAAAAGACGTTAATGGTTTTTTGTTTGTTTGTATGTTGTTTAACGTCCCTCTCAAGAACTTTTCACTCATATGGAGACGCCATCACTTGCCGGTGGAGAGCTGCAAATTTTGTCCTATACTCGGCACTTACGGCCATTGAGCAGTGAGGGATCTTTTTCGTGCCAGCACCTACTGCGACACGGGACCTCGGTTTATACGGTCTCATCCGAAGGACCGGTCTCCACGTCCCACAGTGGGATTCGAACCCCCGACGTAAGGATCAACTCCTTACTTCGCGACTCTAGAGCAGGCGCTCTAACCGTTAATGGTAACCTAACAAAAAAGCTTAATGATTAACGTGATGACTTCAATATTTCAATCGTCAACTTCTCTTACTTATGTAGCAATATCAACTGCATGTGGGATTCTTGTCTCCCAGTTGATTCGATACCGGGAGCATGTTCTACGTATGAACAATTTCTAAAATGATGCTAACTATTGACAAACAAGTTGATGAAACAAGGACATTAACAGTCTCGTTTGAAATCATCATTTCGCACGTTTTATGGCCGTTACAATGTCCTTGTCAGCGAATACAACCTTTCATTTTATCAAATGCTAGGTTTTACATACTAATTGTTAGGTAATTATTTACACACTGAATTGTCTACGGATTGTTTCGTTTTTCCCAATCATGACAAGGAGCACAAGACAGGTGTGACCGGTCGGCAGGGGATGCTCACCCCTCCATGGCACCTGATAGCGCCTTTGATGTTTTTGGAGGTCCTTGCTATGCTCCCGATTTGTATTATTTTAATGGACTTTGAGCTTGGATACGATTCGTTATCATCATATTTCATTGATCAGATAGACAAAAAAATCCGTTGTCAACTGTCACTCAAAAAAATAAATAACGACATGATAATATTATGTACCTGTAAACAAGGTCGTTATACGGCCATAGAATTTTTGAAATGCTGACTTTAAAAGGTTTTCCAGATCCCTGTTCTTTTTACTTAGATGTCAGTAGTCTCCCTCGGGTTCTCTAAAATTATTCGTACTCTTTTTAACAAATAAGCTGAACAAAAAAAAAAAAAAACATGATTTTGGAGGATAGGTACATGGATAAGGAAAGGTGACGATGGAAAAAATATAACTATTTATAAAAACAAAATGTTAGAAAATTACATATTTTCATATTTACCACATTCTATCTAAAGCCAACAAATACCCAGTTTACACCTGATGTTCTTTTTGTTTTATATAAACGAACTGTAATAACTGATAATTTTAATTTGCGATTTGTCACATTGAAATCTATCCGCGACGACATTTTTAATTTTAGGAAATATTGTGCATGTTTCGACAATGGAATTTATAGTTCGTGGCGAGAAATATTCTCGAGTAAAAGAAAATTGAAAGTTTATTTTTCGCATGCAAAAAAAAGTTGACTGACAATAGCGTCCTTTGCCCAAAGATCATTTTTTCAATTGTGTTTATTCATAACATTTGTTGTTGTTTTATTCTTTTATCAGAAAAGTAATTTAAAATGAAAAGAAAACGTTTTCCAATTTAAAGAAGAATGCCTTATAATTTTTTATGGGTTTTTTTTTTAACTTTAAATTTTTCCCGGAAAGAATGGTGTCTATGTAAAGAGGAAAGTTTCCTTGTAGAGACATTCCCTAATATACAACGACAAGTAGAGCACTAATACGGCAAACGAAATAGATATTAAAAATCATTAAAACAGAGATAATAAGAGGTGTTTTCTCTTATGATCATGTTTTATACAAAAAGATTTTTTTCTTAACTTTTGAAACAAAAGAATATAAACTAAAATGAAACTGAATTATGTGATCATATGGACATTGTTAAACGTTTCAAATAATATTGCTTTATCCAGTACT